AATTTAAAAGTACAACTATAACAATCAATAATACTTGAAGTTTAAAATAACTGTACACAGAAATTTAATTAAAATAATACACAATTAAGATTAGATTAAAGCTAGGTTAATCCTGGCCTTGGGTATTAATAAGTGTATTTAGTATATAGCAAAATAATTTTTACCCACATACTACAATATAAAATAAACATGTCCAAATGAAACAAAATAGCGGAATAAACTTGATTTTTTAGTTAATACCAATTAAATTAAACAAAAAGACAAAAACACAAATCATACAGTATACGTGACGAAATGCTTGAATTTTATGCGATTTTTGATAAAGTAAATGTACGTTAGATACAAGTTTTGAAAAGTTATACCTGCAGATTTTATAAATATTAAAATGTAAATATCAGTGAATTCCTCAAGTTATGACAGCTATTTTTAGATTTGTCTCCATAAATTAAATTATTAAGTATTGTAAAACATAATACTCCTATTTTTTATTTTGCTATTGTTAAAAACATAATATATTATTCTAACATAAAAAATAATTCAAATGAAAACAAACAATTTATTTTTAGAAGAATTTCAAATATTTGTAAATACATATAGTAAACCGAGATAAGAATCTTATTAAATTACAAAAATTTACCCTAGTATTATTATTTAAAAAAAAAATCGGTCCAGTAACCAATCTTAACTTCTGTAACCAGCCTAAAAAATACCAACATTTAGTCGTATTTTTAAGATTAACAATTGCGTTATAATATAATGAGTGATAGTAAAACTAAAAATTCATATCTAATACAATTAATTAGCAGTAACAAATCCGGCACACATAGTCATCCATATAAGACTATATATATATATAATATTACGTGAAATTTATATGCATGCATGTCTAAAAGTCATCATTTATTTTTCTAATTGTTTCCTTCAGAAATAAAAGTTAACTGCATAAAAATAGTATATATCGTCAAACCTCATATGTAGAAATTGTAGTAATACAAGTATAATAGTATATAAATATATAGTAATAATTTTCACTACAATACAAATAATATACCTTTGACTTTTAATTTTACAAACAGTTAATAATTTTCTCGGAATGTCTATGATAAATACATTAGAAACAAAAAAACTTATAATCTTATAATATATTATATCCTCAAATTACAATTTTCCAACGTATTTTTCTTTTTATAAATATCTATCACTTAATTCAGTATATTAATGAGCTAGAAAAGTATTTATATTGTAATATACCAGCAAAGTTAATACGTATAATGATATATTTATTTTATTCTATTCAATTAAGGTTTATGATTTTTTACATCAATACGATGTGTATGATATATTAATTACGAGTTCAGAGACTTGAATGTCTGCGCATTACGTATTAATTAATAACATTAAACTTTTAATATCTTTACCTAATAAATAAGGTTTTGTACATAGTTAATATTCTATAATCTTTAAGATAGCGGATTAAGGTAAGAGTAATCACATTATTTCATTATTTTCTAAAATACATCTATTTTTTAATTTCTTAATTTTTTATTTCTATAATATTTATTGTATTTTAATAATACATCAAAATAAGAATACATTTTGTGCAATACAATCACAAGTAATTTAAAATATAATTTTTTTATAAACATATTACATTTTTGCATAATTGTCAATACCTATTTTAGAATGAATATAAATAACAATATTCAATTTAAACGAAATTGATTTAAAAACATTCATTTTTTTTAAATACTCGTAAGCTTTACAATGAAATAGACTATTAAGGTCACATGCATCAGAATAAAATTAATTTCTCGATTCTTTAAAGGCCAATTATTAACGTATAATTTATAGACTAGAGTGTATGATTTAATTAGATAACCTTATAACTCTATAATTGCAGCTTCAACGATAACAAATATACATATATGTATAAATACATCATATTATAACTTGAAATTAATTTTTTTCAAATTTTTTTTTATACACACTAAATTGTTAGATAGAGGGTAATATCAATAATGCACCAACTAAAAAAATACATAGTTCAAAACTAATCACATATTACTCAATTTTTAAAATCATTTGTGGTTTCTAGACAATTATCGAATACATTTTTTTCCCTGAATGATTGAACAGTATTCTTATTTTACACGTGTTCAAACTTTCCGGCTATTTATCTATGAAAAATTTTAGTAATTGATTCTAGATTATTTTTATTTTATTATTCTAGATTTAATCTTGCATACAAATAATGATAAAAAACATAAAGGTCAGGGTAAAACACTACACGCATCCCTCTCAGAAAAAAAATTTAATTCTAAATTTTTAATTGTACTATAGGTATACCTTCAATAAATTTAAAAAAATACATAATATATTAATTACTTATTCATATATAAATGAGTATCATATCCATAAAAATGATGTTAATTTTACAAATATATATATATATATATGTAAATATGTATATACTAATACTTAATAGTTATCTAAAATAATATATCTAATACAACTAATAATAGCGATTTATTTCTTTTTAAATTGTATTACCGTACTCAAGAAGTGAAAGAGTTCAATTGTTATAATAAATTATTACTATAAACAAATTAACAATTAACTACCTTAATATTTATAATAACGTATACCTGATAATATAATCAAGTAAATTCAGTGTAGTTACTTGGATAACTAGGTATCTACAGTATTAATATACGATTCAAGCAACAATGGTTGTATTCAAGATTCCGTTTATATATCACATCATCCAAATACGTATTCTAATAAAATATACATTTATGAAAATGTGTAGAAATACTGTAGTTCATCAAGTTTTATTTAATAGAGATAAATTATTAAATATTATATTTTTTTTCAGCTATGTTTTATAGTCTAAAATCTACAGTATTTAAACTTGACGTGAGCATACATATATATATATAAATACGAATGATAGTATGGTTTGTGATAATATATATTTGTCATAATATATAACAATCCGCACACGCACATGTGGTTTGCAAGTTGTTTAGGAATTTAGAAACCCCAGGCAATACAATAAGTAACAGTCCACTTATCACATTAAAATCACTACAAAGAAAAAAAGAAACCTAAGTATTTGAAATTGAATTTTATTTTGAATTATGATCTTATTCTACCCAATAACCAGCCTATATATATATATATATATATATATATATATATATATATATATAT